AGTGAAAAAGATTCAGCCTGTTTTTAAGGACTCACCTATAGTGAGAACATTGCGTAGAAAGAAGTTAAATGCAAAAAAATACAACTAACCTATGGTACATGTAGAACTCTGGTTTCCAAATCCATTTCATCGGAACAAATACTTTAGAAATCCCATCATAATCTGTAGTATTCCATGCAAGAAACTCATCCTTCCACCAAACGTCGAAGTAGGCGGAGACTGTGGCCAGATTATTTTTCTGGTCCTGAACGGTGAAAGTTCTAGTAAAAGAAAATGAATTTCTAAAAATGTTTTCGAAAACGGGAGCTCTCCAGTCTGTTCCAATATTTAGTCCTTTTTGCAAAACAAATGACAAATTGAACGGATCTACTTCGAAAAACTGTGTGCTCGAACTCCACAATAAATTATGAAGCTAGTCAAATTTTTCAAAACAAATTTTGTCTGCTTCATCTAGAAAGCAAACATCCACATACCTCTTCACAGAAGATTATGTGCAAGCGTGTTATGTCTTTACTTTCAATATTCTTATTGAGCAGACAGTACATGCACTATGATATGTAAGTAAGGAGCCTCTGAATCATCTTCGAACTTTGTTACTTAAACTTTTCCGATGCTTATGCAACGTTTATTTTATAGTGACAATGCAGTGATTTGCTTGCAGCGCGTGATAGCACATTTTAAAATTCTCTCTGCCTATGCTACGCTGCGAAATTTTGAGCAGAGCTACTTTGATTCGCTGTCATTGATAATGCCGTCAACCTATACAGGGACTGTGTATGAGTGCTTACCGAAGAGCGTGCATAAAGTAAACAGAAGAGTGATGCTTATCAATCATTCCACTTGAATGATTAATTGTCTTTTTATTCTTAGAGATTAGTACATAACTTGAAGTGTGGAGGAACAATGATAATGTTAAGTAATGCAGGTAACCGCATTAAAATGCATAGAAATGTGAAGTACACATTTGACTCAATCTTGAACGCTTGAAACCCATTGGTGTTTTGTAATTTGTAGTCTAAACTTCCGAGGAGAGCACGTTCTCAGCGTCACGTTATTGATGTTTTTTTTTTGTTTGAAAAAAGCACAAGCATTTGCGCGATTTTTCAACTTATGAACGAGTTCAAAAGAGAAACCACAGCTTGTTCAAATATCAATTTACTATTTATGCACAGATGCCGAAGTAATCGCCTACTTATATTTAACTGTCAAAAGCTGCTCGGATAGTGGTCGACAAACCGCATGCTGAGTCAAAACGCCCGCGGTATGCATAAGTAACACCAACATGATTGATATCATTATGAAGTGCGAAGAAAATATGTTTTGAAGTTATTGAGAACTACCACCTTATATCAAAAAATTTGAAAAAAAAA